TCTCAGTGCAGTGTTTTTCTGATTCTTCAATATAACTGACAAAGCAAATATTATTAATGAGTTATTGATCACATGGTGATCTCTTATAATGACTTTATTTCTGTGAAGCCAGTTGATGCCAGTTTTATCTGAGAGATATTATGTAAACAGTTGATCTAGTTAACAAAAGTGTTGCTTGGGATCAGCTTGAAAATGAAGGGGGGAAAGAGCAATTTTAAGCCTGAGCATTACTTACAGATGATGTATTTTTGCTTTGTATCTAGGCAGCTCCTAAAAAAGCAAAAGAACTTTTTTAAATAGTTTTTTAGTTGATTAATGTTTGAGTAATATGGAATACATTATGTCACTTTGGGTCGGAATCGACTCAACGGCACTTAACAACAGCAATTTGGTGGAATACATGGGAGAAAGATGAGGCGTTCTGTTCCCATGAAGATTTAAAGCCGTGGAAACCCTATACAGGTTCCCTATGACTCAGAACCGACTGGGTGGCACTTAACAACAACAACAATATGGAGTAAATTGGGTTCTTATAATTGAAATGTTTTTGAAATCCATTTTATTTTCTCTTGAGAGAAATATGATATAAATTAAATAAAGAAGACACAACCTAAATGAGATTCTGAAGTGTTTATTTTGTAATCTTATTGGTTATTTTTTGCCAAAGGGTTTTAGTAACAACAGTGCCTTTTAAAGAAAACTAATTTGAATGGAGTGTTAGTGAATTGTTGTTAAGTACCATCAAGTAGGTTCTGACTCATAGTGACTCTGCACAGGGTTTCCGAGGCTGCAAATCTTTACGGGAGCAGAAAGAAAGCCTCATCTTTCTCCTGGGGAACAACTGGTAGTTTCAAAGTGCTGACCTTGAAGTTAGCATTCCCAACTTGTAACCCCTATGCTACCAGAACTCATTTTAGACGAGGGGTGGTGGTGGTGATGTGCCGTGGAGTCAGAACCGACTCATAGCGACCCTGTACAGGGTTTCCAAGGCTGGAAATCTTTACGGGAGCAGAAAGCCTCATCTTTCGTCCATGGAGCAGCTGACAGTTTTGAACTGCTGACCATGTGGTTCGCAGCCTGATTAGTAACCACTGCACTACCATAGCTCCAGGGGTGGGGAGCCTTTTTTCTGCCAAAACTTTTAACATCATTCACGGGTCATACAGAATGATCAAAATAGCTTAAAAATTAGCCTGCTGTATTTGGTCAAACAACTGACTTGACGGCGCTTAACAATACCACCACCAACAGTGTGATGGCTGGAACTTCCATCACTGACATGATGTCATTTTAATAAAAATTTTGAAGTAGAAAATAATTTGGTCTTGAAAGGGTTAAATCTGTCTTAGCAATTAAACATGTATTAAATCCATTGCTGTAGGATAAGTGTAGGACTGCTAATCACAAGGTCCATGGTTCAAACCCATTAGCCGTTCCTTGGAAATCCTATACAGGGTTTCTATGAGTCAGAACTGAATTAACAACAAATCTGTTGCTGAGAAGTTGATAACAACTCACAGTGACCCTGTTATTGCAAATTATCACATATTTTTTCCACATAGCAGCTTGTGGATTTGAACTGCCTACCTTTTTATTAGTAGCAAAATACTTTAATCATTGCATCAGTAGGGAGGGGGGCTGTTAGCTGATGCTTCTTGTTGTTAGTCATTCATAGACATGCAAAGGAGGCCTGGGTATCACAGTTCAAACCCACCAGCCACTCAGTAGGTGAAAGATAGGGTCTCTTTGAATTGGAATCAACTCAGTGGTAGTGTATTTGTTTTTTTTTTGTTGTTGTTGGTTTTTTTTTCTTAAAGGTTTTATTGTGAATTATGTGATAGTTTACATGGGAGAACATTAGTATTACATTCATTCTATCTATATTGTCTCATTGTCATGGTTACAATCTCCATGCAGTCCTTCCCCCATACCCCCCAGGTCTTCAGCACACAGTCGCTCTCCCTCTCTGGATCTAAAGTCTCCAGCTGCTTCATCGCTCCACGTCATCATCTCTGCCTCCATTTCAGGCATCACTGCTTTTCTGGGTACAGTCCTGCTCTCTGCTCTTCTCCCTTGATGGTCCTAGGGACTTCCGCTCCTAGACTGAAAAGTTAATCTCTCCCCTCCTTGCTATAAAACATCTGCCTTTACATTTCCGACCCTCACAATCAGTCCTGATAATTATTCACTATTGTATCACAAGAGACCCGTCTGCATTTCATTGTATCAGCCCTACGTAGTCAGATTGAATACTACTCACTGGAGAGTCTACTTTCCTCCAGGCCCTCTGGATCTAGGTTCCCTCTTGAAAGCTTGTAAGCCAGTCACTTCTTGCCTTTGTAGCCCCCGCCCCCCATTTTGGGTTGCCAATGTCCAAGTTGCCCATCCCTGCCTGCTCTGTGTGTGGAGGGGGTGGGAATGATTCTTGCTGTAAGGACTTGTTCCATCTTTTGAGCTACTACTTCCAAAGGTGTAGGTCAAGTTCATCAAATTGTATGAGAATACTTTGGGTTTTTTTTCTCCTCTTCTTTTTACTTCTGGTTGAGCTCTGATAATACAGTCACTGAAGCCAGGATAAGTGGGTATTATCTGCTAGTGTGGGTGTTCTTATGCATATGCCCTCTCTTCTTATCAGCTGGACGCTTCACTCTCCACTCTAGTCCTCTGTGGCTATGTCACTGACTCCGGGCCCAAGAGTCCCCAGGTCTTGCTACACTGCTGGCCAACCAGGTCTCCACCCGGGTTCACAGAAGTCTATTGAACGTTGTAGGGCTTAGCGCACCGCTTCATTGCTATTTTTCCCTCACTTCCCCTTATCGGTGTTGAGCATGGTCACCAATCACAGCATGTGTTCCCATTGAGTCTTAGTCTTGGAAGGGGGTTTGCATTGAGGGGACCTGACCACTTGCCTTGATGTTTCCTGGGCAAGCAAGTTGCTTGTTCTTATAGTAACAGTCGGTCTACCTATGTTGTTTTATATTTTTCCTGTAGGTCTTTCTTTCAAGAAGCATCTTCTGTTCTTCTAGCCCCTCCAGGTTGATCTGCTTGTCCTTTCAAGTGGGAATTTCCCATCTCTGGAGATCTGGATGTGGTTCAGGCTTCCACCTATAGTCTTATGTATTGCAGAGGCTCCGCAGGAAGCCTCCTTCACTGGGCACGTTGTAGCCCCATTTTAGGTATTCCAATCAGTTATAGGCAGAAGACGGACTTACAAGCTGTCTATGGTGGTGC